TGCTTTATTGGAAGACCGGGGTCAGGTTGATGCTGCGCGCATCAGCAAATGGCAGATCCGGCGAAGGATCTTCAAGCTCTCGGGCGCTGGATATCGCTGTATGATACTCCTAGGACTGTATCTGTTATACAGCGGGCTGGGCGTAGGACGAGTAAGTCATACCTCTCTCGCTTGGTTTATGCTTGTGACTGACATGGACAGGGTCTTTGGATGATGGTCTGGAGTAACAACAGCGGTCCATCTGCGGGGGAGGCCGAAGAATCCTTGGAGATGAAACCCACGGCGGTGACAAGTGACGTGAGATGGTTCCTTTCTATCTATCTGACTCTTGCCATTGTCTCGTGTTTGGTCACTGTGGCACGGAGCTTCCTAGCCATACGTATCGTACTGCAGATGTCTCGACGACTCTTCCATCGCTTTCTCGACTCGATCCTTCGTGCACCCTTGCAATGGCTTGACAAGCTTCCCACCGGGAATATCCTGAACAATTTCTCCACCGATTTCAGCCTGATCGATTCGCGACTGGGCTATGATCTCAACTATGCTCTCGGTCTTGTTGTCGATCTCCTTGTCATCGTATTAGCAGCGTCAATTGTGAATGTCTGGCTCAATCTTCTGTCACTGGGCTCGCTTCTTCTGGCCACATACTACGGGCGGAAGTTCATCAGGAAGATCCGCGCTGTCAAAGAACTGGAAAGCCGGATGCGAAGCCCCATCCTCAATCATCTGTGTGCGACCGTAGACGGTATCATGACCATCCGCGCCTACCAACAACAAGAGACCTACCGCGACGAGATGCATGCGCATATTGACCGCCACTGCCGCGCCTCGTGGAGCCTATGGCTCCTAACTCGTTGGATCTCCATGCGAGCCAGCACGATCGGCGCCATCTTCACGACCCTTGGGTCAGCGCTGGTCCTCTGCACGAACGGCGTGACAGCCGCGACCGCGGGATTCGCCATCACCTTCATCATGCGATACAGCGCGATCATGTCTCAAGCGATCCGGCAGTACGCCAACCTCGAGATCTCGCTGAACAGCGTCGAACGAGTTGCGGCGTCTCTGGATACCCCGAAGGAGAAGTACGACACTCCCACTCCAGTGGCAGCGTCCTGGCCCACGGAGGGCCGACTCGACGTATCCGAGTTGACCGTGTGCTACACCCCCGAGCTCCCGCCCGTGCTATCGAACCTCACCTTCTCCATCCCACCGAACACCCGCGTGGGGGTCGTGGGCCGCACCGGGGCCGGCAAGTCCTCACTGGCAATGGCGCTGTTCCGATTCCTCGAAGCCCACGAGGGCAGTGTCCGCGTCGACGGCGTCGACATCAGCACGATCCCGCTCCACGACCTCCGCTCGCGGCTGGCCATCGTGCCCCAGGACCCCGTCCTCTTCTCGGGCACCATCAAGTCGAACCTCGACCCGTTCAACGAATACTCCAACCGTGACCTCTTCACCGCCCTCCAGCGCGTGCACTGGACCATCCCGGACACACTTCTTCCTCGAGCCACCTCCACAGCCCGGCACCACGATGACCCCGAGGTCATCGGTGACAGCGACAGCGACAGCAACATCCCTCTCGCATCCCTCGAGCCCCACGCACACCTCCCCCGCAACGTCCTCAACACTAGGGTCTCCGAACGCGGCAGCAATTTCTCCCAGGGCCAGCGACAAACCCTCTGCCTGGCGCGGACCATCCTGCGGCGTCCGAAGATCCTGGTGCTGGATGAGGCCACTTCGGCCATCGACAAGGCCACGGACGCAGTGATCCAGGCCTCGATCCGGGCGGAGTTCGGAAGGAATTACTCCTCGGTGCTGGTGATTGCCCACCGCCTGCGCACGATCGTGGACTTTGATCGGGTGCTGGTGCTGGACGCGGGACGGATTGTTGAGGACGGGTCTCCCAGAGAATTGATCGCTGATTCGCAGGGGGTGTTTCGGGGATTGGTGGAGAGCAGTGTTGATCGGGAGGAGTTGATGGAGGTTATTGCTCAGGGGGGAGGGATGGGCGCATAGTTGCACCAGCGTTCATGCGAAAGTGGGCTGACTATGGCTCTCGCAAGTCCTAGAACCTTCGACCTCGCCCACGCACGCAGGGTAGAGGGGAAGGCAGTACACCCCCTGAAGATAACATCCACCCCCCAATGATCCATATCCGACGCAATCATGCATACAATGTCACGGAGGAGGCAATGTCGAATTTCCCCCTCCCTTATCTCCGATACCTCCGTTTCCGCCTCAGCACCCCGAAAAACCAGACACTGACAAATCATCGAATTAATAAACACGGCATCTCAAATTTCCCCTCCTTTCCGAACACTTCCAAGTCCAGCCGGGGCAAATGTGAAGAAATAAAAAAAACTTACTGGTACCAACGTCTCGGGTAGCGAACCGACCCAGCAAGATCCGATTGATATTGCCGGATTGGGTCTAGTCTCCGCGCGGATGTCTTGGCTGGGGTCCGATCGGATTAGGCT